ACTACCATAATAATAGAGTATTAAATACCCATACATTTTGTAGTTTAACTAATACTAGTTAAACTACATGTATTAGTTTACACTAAACCTTTACTTACAGAATATTAACAAATCTAAGACAAGAGTTCTATTTTGTTTCATTTTATATTTTTTATTATTTACCTTTAAAAGTATTAGTTCAATATAATTTTTAAGTGTTTAAAAGTCCGCTATTTAGTAATAAAAACTTAAAACATTTGAATAGAAAAAAATATTTATTTGTAATATGTTTTGGGGAGCAAAAAAACCAACCTGAAAAATCTAAAAATGCATTAAAAAAATTAAATCTTTATTTTTTTAATTGAGGATCGTCCGATCAGAAAAAAATATGTCCACTCCCAGCGAAAACTCAAGTAAGTACTAGTTGGGGGGTCATTCTCACCTTGAAAGTGGTCGAAGACTAATAGTTCCTTTTTAAAATGAGTCTCATCAAAACAAAAAATGTCCAAAGTGCAGACAGAGGCAAACATGTCTAACCAACTAATCACAGCTTTCAATCTAGTCACGTGTCATCGATATGGCACACTTAAAACATTTACTGTCCAAGTTTTTACAAGCAATGATTTTTTTGTTTCGTTAAACGTATAATAAAAAGTTTCTCCTTTTGCAAAACGAACATTGGATACATTGAAGAAAAAAATCCAAACATATAGGGGCTAAACTGATTTCAGATTTACTTTCAACGGGTGAATTTACACGAGGATATCATGATACTCTCCATATCGCAGACCTTATTTTTTTGGGGGCTGTGTAATTGAACAGAAACAAATATTGATTTTCAAAATAAATTAATCTCGCATACCTAGGTAAAGTCAAAAACAAATAAGACTTGGTAGGATCCGATCAAAAACAAATAAGTCACATGCAATCTGGTCATAAACAAACATGCCCATTCTTATAAGAATGGGCATGTTTGGCAACTTCTATAGAAGTTAATTTTTTAAATTCTGAAAGTATTTTGATCACGATGGCTTATTCAGGCGTGCTAGGGAGCCCAAGAAACACGCTTTATATTGCAAGAATTTAATGTACATAATTTAAAAACAGTTTTTAGGTCTTCTAAAAAATCTGATCAGAGGGACATTTTTTTTTTACCAGACGCTCCTTAATTATAATATGGTAAATTATACATAAGAGAAATTCCATGAAAATTTCAAACCTATTCCTAAAATATGCACTTTAAATATATTAGGGAAAAACAGACAAAAATCTTAGTAAAATACCTAAAGTTTTTGAAAACATAACACAGCCACACAAATTTTTTTTTTTGTTTTGATCTGGGGGTCTGACCATATTTCTTTTATGTTTTTGGGGTCGCTGAATCCGAATCCAAGGTCTATTTAACCCCATCACATCAGGATTTTGACATAACCTCAAAAAATCTATAATTTAAGCTATTAAACGCATATAACCCTAAACATTAAGTTGTTGTCTAAAAACCCAAGCTCCTAAACCCTATAAGCCTTAAACTCACTTAACTCCATAACCCCATGACCCACTTAACCCCATCATCTATTTAAACATATAATCCTTAGGATGAAATTGTGATCTGAAAACCAAAGCTATTAAACCCAATAACCATTTTAACCCCATCCCATAAACCACTTAAACCCATAACCTTGTAACCCATTTAACCCCATCAACATCAATTCCAACAGTTCCGTATCTCAGACATTTAGCTTTGAAGAGACTAAAGTTATGCGGTTATTAAAATAACGTACATATTAAGTTAAATATCTGACAAACGTGGTTGATGTACATTGAGTTATGAGGTTAAATGGGTTATGGGGTTATGGAGTTATGTGAGTTATAAAGTTGTGATATTTAAGAGCTTGGATTTTTATATTAAAACCACATTCTCAGGGTTATATATAGTAATAGCTTATATGATGGGTTTTTTAAGGTTATGGCAAAATCCTGATGTAATGGGGTTAAAAAGACCTCGGATTCGGATTCAGCGACCCCAAAAATATATAGAAAATATGGTCAGGCCCCCAGATCAAAACACAAAATTTTTTTTGTGTTATGATCTGGGGGTCTGACCATATTTATTTTATGTTTTTGGGGTCGCTGAATCCGAATCCAAGGTCTATTTAATCCCATCACATCAGGATTTTGACATAACCTCAAAAAATCTATAATTTAAGCTATTAAACGCATATAACCCTAAATATTAAGTTGTTGTCTAAAAACCCAAGCTCCTAAACACTATAAGCCTAAAACTCACTTAACCCCATAACCCCATGACCCACTTAACCCCATCATCTATTTAAACATATAATCCTTAGGATGAAATTGTGATCTGAAAACCCAAGCTATTAAACCCAATAACCATTTTAACCCCATGCCATAAACCACTTAATCCCATAACCTTGTAACCCATTTAACCCCATCAACATCAATTCCAACAGTTACGTATGTCAGATATTTAGCTTTGAAGAGACTAAAGTTATGCGGTTATTAAAATAACGTACATATTAAGTTAAATATATTTAGATATATCTGACAAACATGGTTGATGTACATTGAGTTATGAGGTTAAATGGGTTATGGGGTTATGTGAGTTATAAAGTTGTGATATTTAAGAGCTTGGATTTTTATATTAAAACCACATTCTCAGGGTTATATATAGTAATAGCTTATATGATGGGTTTTTTAAGGTTATGGCAAAATCCTGATGTGATGGGGTTAAAAAGACCTCGGATTCGGATTCAGCGACCCCAAAAATATATAGAAAATATGGTCAGGCCCCCAGATCAGAACACAATTTTTTTTTTGTGTGGCTGTGTAATTAAAATAATAAATGCTATAAGCTATGCCCTATTTAATTTGAATTCTAAGGCACGCCTGTGACAGTCGAAAATCTTCTTTAATTTTTATAGGTTCCGTGCGCGTCACGTCCGTATACGGATACTGCTTATAATTAGTCTTTAATATTTTTTTGCAGAGAATAGAGGGTTTCACATTGAACCTTCTTAGGTACTATAGGCCTAAACCGCCCAGTTTAATTTGTAACAATATCTGTACTTTTGAAACAAAAACATACGTAATTATGGAATTGCTCATAATAAATCTTTCTTAACAAAGTTAAAAAGAAAAAGTTAAAAATATAATCAATATACGTAGGTAGGGTAGCCCAAACTAATTGGGAGTTTTTTTATTAGCTTGGCTGCAATAACAATTAACTCATTGTTTTTTTTGTACGTTGGTATTTAATTTTAAAATTTGATGACAGCCCATAGACATAGACATTTATGCGGCCCAATATTCCAAAAGAAAAAAACGCAACATTCACTAAGCTTTACACAAAATTGTAGAAAAAATGGGCAAATCTTATTAAAGGAAAGATTAATTTGAAAGATGATACTTAACCTTATATTTGCAAATATAAAGACCTTTTTGGATCTCAAACCGCAGAAAAAATAATTTAAAGAATGCGCTGGTCTGAAAAACACGCATCACACAGCAAAAGGAACTAGGTAACCAAAATCTAGTTTGGGCTACCGTACGTAAATTGACTTTATTTATAATAAAAAAGTTATTAAAATATTTTCGCAAATCAGTGCCTTTTGACTATTCAAAACCGCTTAAAAAATCCTTTATTTTTTTCGTAAGTAATATCATAAGGGCATCTAATTTTTCCGAAAAAAATCGAAAAAACACGTTGCTAAGTAATATTTTAACAAGAAGCATGAGTGCTGGTGGCAACAAAAATCCGAGTCGAAGAGGAGGAATTTTTGCACCTGCACGAATGCATTTTGTTAAAAAATATTACTTAGCCTTGTGTTTTTTCGATTTTTTTCACAGGAAAAATTAGATGCCCGAATGGTATTTGACAAGACTATTTCATGAGTAACAGTTAACAATTAAAATATAAATTGCAATTTTTGGTGACAACAGCTGTCAAGTTTTGCCGCGGGTAAACTCGAAAAAACTGCTGACAGGTGCTGTCACAAAGTTTTTTCACCTAGAAACCATTTGCGCGTTTGTGATTGGTGGAAATTAAGACGAGGGAAATAGTCGATTAAAATATATTAAATTTACATAATAAGTCTTACTTAACAGAATATTTTTATTTAATAATTAAAACTATTTGTAATAAAAAAGTTAGGTATTGAATTATTTCCAAAAAACCGTGCTCTTTGACCATAGTGTGGCGCGTTGTGGCCTTATAAACTTTAAGAAGAACTAGCCCACTCGATCGAACTTGAAACTATTTTTGTAATTTTCAAAAATAATAATGCATACCAAAATGAATAAAAAGTTATGTTCAACATCATTGTTTATACCCGTTCCCGATACAAAATTTATATTTAATATTAAATAAATTTTATTTGACATGAGTCCTATTTTATTTTATTTTATTTTTGCCTTAAATAAATCTAACATTTTTTCTTAAAAGATATTGTATTATATTTAAGAGGTATAAACTACTAAATAGTACCAACCTCATTTTTATTATATTGTGTGGAAAAAATGCCGGATTTTCTGTTAATTAACTGGGCATTATAATTTTTAAATTAGTAGTAGTTAATAAGTTTAATATCAGGATACATAATACTTAGAAAATAATATTAAAAGAACAATTTAAACATTTTGGGTGGTACTTTATTTATTTGATCCATTTATATTATTATTATCTTCATAGTTATAAATAAGTTATAAATTGTTTAATTTAATTAATAACGTACTAGTTAAAATAAATCAGATATCTATTGTTCTTTGAGTTTAATAACTTTCTTTCGACCTTATTTTGCTACGAAATTGGGAGAAATGTATTAAATTGTTGCAAATTTTATAGTCAACACGCCGGTCAAGAAAAGTAACATTAATTGTATGAACATTGAAAAATCTTTTCTATTCAGCATCTGATGTTCCACTTGCTGAAGTTATAAAGAAGTTCAGCGCGGGCCCCCATCAGTTACTACACAAATGTCGACCGAATGCACTATATTATAAAAATGCTTCTTCTGCTCTGCTTCGCAGCTCTCGCAGTTAACACATTACAATCAAATCCTTATCAAGAATGTGCAAAGTTATTTAACCCTAACAACTACATAGACCGATTGCCTTCGTTATCGTTACCATTTATAAGCAATATTGCTATTCCACCGGTAAATGTGCCCGATATTAAACCATCCAAAGTAAAAACAACAAAAGTGATTAGTTTGGTGACAAAATATGTGTACAGAAATCCAGTGTGCGTTAAATACACAAGTAAAAAATCCTGCAAACCAATGGAAGCTAAAGAAAACACGAAAAATAATATGGATTATTTAGTGACAAAAGAGTATTTTGTTAATGACCTTAAATCTAAGTATCTAAACCAAAACATTCAAAGACAACATAAGACATTGCAGGATTACCAGCAACTAAGGGAAAATAATTTTAATGATATAGATATGTACGTTGCAAGCAGCGAGGAATCAAAAACATTCGGAAAAGCCCATTCAACAACCCCAAAATTAACCCAGGAAGAAATTAACGATATGCTTATTGAAGATAGACTCGACCAATTGGAAACAATTTTACCCCAATATACACGCAAGAGAGTATACCAAACATCTACTATAACAGTTACTAAAGTAAAAAGTAATCAAAGGGCTACTGCTACATTACTTGTCAAAAATTGCATGCCTCAAGGATATGAAGTTTGTCCTAGTAAAAATAAAAGACGGAAATCGAAAGTAGCAGAATATTCAGATAACTCGGAAGAAAAACATTTCTTTGGTTAATTTTATAGTTCAATAATTAAACAATTATTGCAAAAAGATAAAAGTGTAGTTTTAATTACCGAAATAGGTATTTATAATTGAATTAATTTTTTGTTAAAATGTTTATAGTTTATTATAATCAATTAGGTAGATTAATGTAATTATAGTTACCGTAACGTAGCAGTTAACATATCATATTTATTAATTACTTTATTAAACGGTGTATAAGTCTGATAATAATAAAATTGTTATGGTTTATTTAAAAATTACAATCAAAATAAATGTATTTAATATTAGATACTGCACTGAATTTTATTATATATTTCTAAATAAATAAACTATAGACTAATGAATTTTACCATTTCTGTTTTTCTATAAAATATTCATATTTTTATAGGAAAAAATATATAAAAAATAATTATTTTTTTAAATTAAGGGGTTTTTGTCAGTTTTTAGTAATTTTCTAAAAAGCGATAACTAATTAGTTTTTTATCATATCAATATTTTAAAAAGGCTTCAAGGTAATGAGTAGTGCCATTTAAAACCAGGTATACCTGCCTATAGGCATTTTTTAATTTAATATAGGTAACTAACTATATGCAGTTCACATCAATTTATTTTTTTGTTATTAAATTTAATACATGTTATATTATCAGTTGATGTAGAACTTTAGTGTTATTACCTATTTGTCTACGATATTTACAACTTTAGGTGCAATTAAATTAAATCCGTTTCAAAGAAAATTATTTCGTTTGAGTCAGACTTTATTTTACCTGAATTTAAATTTTTAAGAGGTATGTACCTAGCTAATTTTTAAATTTTACTACCCACAAAAAGTGTGATTTTACTTATTTCACTTAAAGTCCTATTTTTAACAGAAATTAACCAAATTTAAATTTAACCATCAAAAACATTGTTTTTATTATATTAAGGTATTTGTATGACATACTTCTTGGGCATTATGTAGTTATTTTTGCTATACAGGATTGGTAATGTGGGTTGGTTGGTTGGTTGGTAGTGGTTGGTACTGGGAATTGCAAACAGACACGCGAATATGACATTTCTGTGCAATATTTTCAGGTCTTATGCTTTTGCATGACATTTTAAGTTTTTACAATATATCTCATGTTATCAACTTTTATTTAAAAATCTCATGCATTTTTTCAAATTCCAGTAAATTTGTGCTTTTTCATAAGAAATTATTTCTAATGCATGTGAATTTTTTATTGTCAAAAATTGTATGGTTATTTACAAAAACATTTTGAATGTGCCACTTTAAAAATTATGAAATGCATGATGGTAGTATTTTTACAACATACAGTTTTTTTCAAAATTTTTTATCATAAAAATATTTAAACATTTTTCAACCTATCTCTATTGCATATAAGTTATGAGTTACCAGCGAGTTACTGAAAATAATAAAACAGTGGGATATTTGGAAAAATAGTTTTTCTACTCCCACCTTTAAAACCTTTTAAATACATATTAAAAAATTGTGGCTTTCTGGCGTTTTAGTCACGGGCTGAAGTTAGCAACAGGTTTTTAGTCACGGGCTGAAGTTAGCTTTAAGTTAGTTGACAGTTGTCAAATGTCATACAATCGTTAAAATAAAGTGCCCTTCTTGTAAAATAATACTAAATTTGAAAATTATTTTATTATCGCAATACAAAAATACAAAAGCATTACCTAAATAGTTTCTCAACGCCAATATTTGAAAAGTTTATATGAACATTATACTGACCTTTTAATTTTGCCGAAAGGCATAGGGATAGGTATAACTTAAATTCGAGCTCGGACTCCACCGTGAAGTGCTCATAAAACATTTTGTTTACTTTCACTGAGAAAAACTCTTGTTAATCGATTTTCAACGAAAATATTTCGATTTATAACCTTTATAACACAAAATTTGACATTTGACGGTACCTACCACAGATTCCCCTATTGTTTTATAGATGGCGCTCTATACAAATATTTGATTTAAATCATTTTAAGATAATAATAAGTATTTGTCGTAGAAAAAGTATAGTATGCAACTCGTTTATAAACTTTTCTTGACACTCATTAATTTAAGCACTCGCTCGCAAGCTCGCTCGTGCCTAAATTAAATTCGTGTCTAAAATGACGTTTATCAAACTTGATACATAATATACTATTACAGTGTTTTATGTTTAATTAACACTATGCTAATTCGAATTATTAACATTGAGTACGCTTACCTATATTACCTAATTTTGGGCTGCTGATTTTAAAAATGCCACTCGTTTTGGTCCAGGACGTCTAGGAATGGAAATAATTGCTAAAATTATCAAAATGTAAGTTTTTTTGTTAATATTTTGATTATTTATTAAATTATTTTGCCTTAAATCTATTTTGGATGTACCTGAATATTTTTGTAAAAATATACAAGGATTTTATACAAATTCATCGGTATACCTATAGGGATGTCAAATAGAAAATATTTATATTTTTATTTTTTTGTTCGAATGTAGCAGTAGTAGTATTAAATATCCCTCATAGAAAATATTTAGACAAATCGTATGTCATTTTAAATATCAAAACTAAAATTATAATGTATTTTTTTGTAAAAAGAAAAATTTTTTGAAATTCGTTTTTTAAATTACAAAATTGAAATGGCAACAAAGTATAAACATTACTCTGAAAAAATGCTCTCCACTTTTTAAAGAATTGACTTTAATATGTCAATAAAAATACATTTTCTTCATTTTCATCCCCAAAAATTTGCCGGACAGTCACCTACTGAATCTGATGAACATGCAGAACGATTTTATCAAGTAACTGTAAATCTATAATAGCGGAAAGAAGTTGGATTCATTGCTAGGAAGCATTTGCTGTAAAGTTAAAAAAATTATAGATTCTTTAAAAAATAAAAAGTTAATGGGATTAGATGAAATAAACACCGAAACAATAAAAAATATAATTTTACCTTTTACCCATATAATCAATAAAATCATGGAAACTGGCCATGTCCATCAGCCTTTAAGACATCCATAATTGTGCCGATTTTTAAAAGTGGTGACGCCAATAAAGTTGTAAATTATAGAAGTATATCTTTAGTGACATGTCTTGCTTAGGTTTTTGAAAAGGTGGTTAAAATCAGACTAGATAATTTTCTTACTAAATACAATTTAATATCACCATCCCAATTTGGATTCCAGACAAAAAAATTGACCCAAGACGCGATCCATCTGCTTACAAAAACAATTGAGGGGTGATTTTTCAAAAGGTCGTATTTCCATTTGCAACAATTTTTCAAAAAACGAATATAACCTGTATAACCGATATGACTAAGCTGTCAATATATTTTTTTGAATTAGGTTAGTCCGGTGTTCTTCAAAGTTTTTACGAAAATTGTTTTTAGAGGTATTTATTTATAAAAGTAATTGTGTCATTCTTGTTTTTTAGCCCTGAGGAAGAGGGCAGTAAATACCCTCGAAACGTCGGCGAATTTAAAAAAAGTTTTTAATTTTCCTGTCCGAATACCCACAAACCTAACCTCAAAAATTTGTTAAAAGGGAAAAAGTACTATGGATGATAACCTGTATAGGTTAGGGCGATAACAATTATTAAAAAAAAATTCTGATAAATATTGTATTGGTGGTTTAAATTTAAATATTTATAGCAATAGTATTATAGAAAATTATTTGGAAATAAGACCTTATGTTCGAGACTACAGGAAATAAGACCTTTAGTATAAAATTATTTTGGAAATGTGCCTTTTTGCTGTGTACAAACTTGGAAATATTACTTTTTTATTGAATACCATTTTAAAAAAATATATGGAAAAATATCTTTATTGTGCTAACAATAGGGTATTTCAACGAAACCTTACCCCACCTTTACAAAAATCAGATATGTTATTTAACAAAATAACCATATCTGAAGTCAAATAGACTTAGGTAATTTATAACCTTAAAATATTCATACATTGTGATGCTAAGAAGATAACATTAAGAATAAACAAAGAAGAGTTTCAATACTCGATAAAATATTCAAATGTCGCACCCGTTACATTTTGAGAACATTTAAAAAAATAAAGTATACAATATTTGTGCATTTAAAATACTTGCTTGTTTAAGGTTACTATTCAAGTTTTACACAAAAAAGTATTACTTTATGTATGCTTTCATCCAAAATTTTACAGTATCAACTTTAGAAGCCAACTTGGTCGCATTTGTTTATTTTCCAAGGTCTTGCCCGCTATTCATGCCCAAGTAGCAAAGGATTGCCACCGATAATGCTTTACTATTTTATGCAAGCTTTATAAATGCATGAAAACATGCTATTTGTTTTATTGCAGCTCTACTTTGTGCTAGTTGGTCTTGAGATAAGAAGCTTTATATTAGGCTTTATGAGCGACTTTAAAGTAAAGTATAGTTTTTCTTCTGTGTTGTTGGCAAAACATCGTTAAAGGAATACTCATTGTATTCCTTCAACGTCCTGTTCCGACGAAGAGCTAAATCCGCATCATTCTATCACAGCAATTAATGCGGTAGAAGACGGCGAAACTTTGGAAGATGGCGAACCTTCGGAAACAATAAAAAACATTTGACAATTTTTAGGTTATGTTATCATCCGACAAAGCAGTATAGCCTTGATGGCGATACTTTTAATGAAAATACTGAAAAGTTGTTTTAAAATGCTCGCACAAAATGCCAATTGGTTTTATGATTGCCTTGAAAAATGCAGTCATAGGGCCTATTAGTTTTAACAAATAGAAATTTAAAGCCATTAAACTTTTTAGCAGTTGTTTGCAAGAGTACATTGTTTTATAACTGAAACCGCCAGTTCAATTAGAAAATATTGCTCCGTCATAATAAAATAATTTTAATCTAAAATACAAATAGATAATATTTTTCAGAAAATTTCAAAAAATTTGGTTTTTACGAGCATCTTAATGCTAGAGAATATTTTTTCGATAAGAGATGGCTTAAAAAACAGAATGTAGATCGGGTAAGTAATTTAGCTAGAGCCTTTAAAATTGTTTAAACTAAGCGCATTTC